TTTAAAAAGTTATAAGCACGGAGGAGTGCAAGATCTAGTTAAAGGCTGAAGCAAAGAGAAATGTTTTAAGTTATCTGTAAAAGACATTCACTGAACTAGCTTCTCCAATTTACAACAAATACTGTGTGAATTGTGGCTACTGTGTTGCTATTAAACGTATATGATCATTGTGTGTGATCAGTAATGAAACTTACATAAATATAGTCGCGGTGGAACCTCTTCTTCAAATTCAAAATCACAGAGCTCTCGCACACCTCTCTAAAACATAGAGAAAACAGGCTAAAACTGTGCATAAATGTGCCTACTCGGGATATAAAATACACTTTTCAAAATCTGAGGTGCCTCTAGATGGGTGGCTATGTGCCCAGCTCTCCTTTTCCCTTTCCTATCTTCATAGGATTTGTGTATTTGGGAATAGTGATTACATGGAGTTTCACCAGATGTTCAAAGCCAATGTAATCAGTTTGTTTAATGAAATCACAGGACTTGGAAAATTTTAACTCTCACCCTATCTCCTGGCTGGGCAGAATTTCCCTTCTAAAAATGAATGTTCTCCCTTGCTTTCTCTATTGAATGAGAATGATACCCATTTTATTCACACATTAAATAATGTGTAAGATAAGTGTTGGTCCTTTCATGACTTGTTTAGTAGCCCTTTTTATTTTCTTATTAAAAGTAAATTAAACATACGGTATTCCAAAAAACTATGAATACATATATTGTAGATAGAGTGTGTGTGTGTGTGTGTGTGTGTGTGTGTGTGTGTGTGTGTAAACTCACTTCAACTGAGACAGATCTTCCACCTCATCCACCTCTACAGGTCTTGTGCTGCCTGGCATTACCACCTGAAAAAGACATCAGCATTAACAGTACTACCAATTACTATTAATCCTTCCCCTTCTCTACAGCCATCTTCTGGTCTTAATAATATTGATTCAATATGATTTTTTGCAGATGTGAATGAGAGCCATTTATGTGTTTTGTTTGTGCTGAAAATACTTTACTCTTCTCATCAAGCAGAGGAGTGGAATAGTATAGCAGTGTGATAGCTGATATACAACAATAGAGTCAATTTTCACAATGATTATTTTTCGATAAAAAAGAATAATTATAGTTTATAGAAAAATGCTTCTCGTGCTATAATGTTCCAGTAAGGTTGAGAAATCTACCTTAACTATATAAAACACATGTTGTGAGTGTGTATACAAAAACACACACTTTGGCTGTTTGTAGCTAGGGGAGCCAATGGGACGTTTTACATAAGATACCTGTGTGCTGACAACGCAACTCTAAATTCCAAGGGGGCCTGCCATTGTGGGCAGAATAAGTCCTACCCTTGTCCCAATTTTCATTTCATTTATTTTAACACCAAAAATACAATACATACCTGAGGGGCCCCACTCATCTGCAGGTTCTCAGCCCAGTACACCTCTGGTTGGGTGATAGTATGTATACCACCCACATCCATCAGCTGGGCTACTTCCCTGTTTATCTCTTCTTCATACAAGGAGCAGTCACCTGAGATCATTGCATTTGCCTCCCCATTTGATAACAACTGAGTGGTTGACCTGGGTATTGCATCTGCATCCTCTCTCTCTGGGTCATTGTCCCATGTCAATCCATCACCTATAGTTCCCCCTGACAATGACATCTTGGTTAAGTTGATCTGGAACAGGTCCAGTTTCTCTATGGCAGCCTGTTGCACAGTGACTCCATCCTTATTGTCTAAGGCAGCCCTCCTGCCTTTATGCTCTGGGTTGGATGATCCTTTCATTGAACCACTGGACCCAGGGACCTTCTCTGCCACATTCCTGTCTAATGTTAGTGCTGAAAATGGCTTCTGGGTGGACTTAAGCCGGGTGAGATCTGGCTTGATAGGGAGTACAAGCCTGGCACCTATTTTGTTGGGTTTGCACTCTAAGGTAGTGGGCTTTCCTGGTGACTCAGGGGTACATGATGAAGTGGGAGATCCAGAAGTTCTAAGGGGTGCTATGACGGTCTTTTTCTTGCCCACTATGTTCATCCTGGGGAGTACTACAGCATATTTGGCTTCTACCTCAGCTGGGGATACTTCTTCCCATCCCTCCTCTTCCTTTCTCTGGAGGCCAGCTTTCTCTGTAACCATTGTATCCTGAGGAGAGCCCATGTTTTTCCTTCTGACCAGCCTGGTGTGACTAGCAACTCTCATGGCCATTCCGTATTGGAGAACATTTCCTTTAGATTTTCTGGTGCTTTGTTTTTGTTTCATAGCCTGAAGGGACAGCCAGTGAGATACCCCAATGGCTTTAGTCCAAACAGAAAGCTTCTTCTTAAAGTTAAGCTTCTTCTGAATCCAACCAGACACTGGATGAGGAGATGCCACAACATTTAATCCTGCTATTAAACCATCCTTCGGTTTACTGGACCCCTCATCAAAGGACTCACCCGCTGATGTTTCCACATTTGGATTTGCTAAGATGTTATTTGCTTTGTCTTGGACAGATTTCATCTTGACCTTGTGAAAAAGCAGCCTCTGTTGCTGCCCTTTCACAGAACTTTGGGCATCCTGCTGTTCTTCGAGCTCCAGAATGGCTCTCAGATCTTTACCTTTGCCTTCAAGCAGCATTATTTCGTCTTTAATAGTCAACGATAGCTCAGTCTCCTCCTCTTCATTTTCTAAGTCAGCATTTTTTATTGTCTTTGCGACCAATGTCCTGCTCTTTTCCGTGTCAACCTTGTTGAGAGAAATGCCTTTTACTGATTTTATATCGTCTCTTCCAGAACTGGGTTTGTCCTCTTTCTGTGTCCTCTTCTTTGGTTTACTGGCTTTGTGATTTGCTTCCTTTTTTAACCTTTTCTTTTCTACTTTAACCTTCTGTTTTTCTGCCCTCTCTGCCTGCTTTTCCATCTTTGTTTTTTTAACCATCCTCTAAACTGGAGGGATTGGAAGTCAGTCCGCATCTTCTGTTGGCTTGTAATATAAGTCCAGGGTTATCTCCTTGTCTTTAGCCCCATCACTGATTAAGTCCTCAAATAGTTCAACTTCATTTACCTTTTCCTCGCCCACTGGTTCCACAATTCTTGCTTCTTCTGAAAGACGGTCTGGTTCCTCATTTGCTGTCTGTTCTCTATATCTTTGAGTGCCCGATGCCTCTGTCTCCTCACCACTCCTCTTACCCCCTGTCTCAGGTGGCTCTGCGTCACAGCACCATTCCCCCTCCTCCTCATTTAAGTTTCCTGCTCAGTAGCATCCACTGAGCCTTCTGCAATGCTCACTTTGACAGTTCACTTCTCTTGCTTTCAGTCTTGGGTAGCTTGTTATTGTTACCCCTGGTTTTGTAGTGAGTGCTAATGGTGAACAGGTTTGGTAGTCTTGCTAGCCACCATTTTACCATCTTTTTTATGTTGAGGTTGTAATATACCATTTGCTTCAATTCTTTTGTTATGCTTCACCTTCACCTGCCTTTCCTTTTGTTTCACATTAAGTGCTTCAGCTTAGCTTAGATACCTCTTAAACATTTTGTCTCACATTTTTCTGTTGATTTCCTTTTTTGGATTCCTCTGCCCTCTGTGACATAACATTTTTCCTACCTTGATAGTTGACTGGTGACATGGACATTCATTCTCAAGTTTAAGATGCCTACAGAATAACAAAATAAGATAAGTTGTATTTATTTTGTCATTTTCCATGACAATAAAGAAAATAGAAAAAGACATTGCAAACTTCTGTTTCGAAATATCAGAAAACATCTGACAACAACACACAAACAGACCTTTCTCTACAGGATACTTTGAAAATCACATTTGTAAAGCTCACTGAAAACTGGTCCCTTGCCCAATCTATCAGCATTTAGTATGGGATTCACACTTTAAGTCCCTGAGTTTGACAGCTGCACTGAATCTCGATGAAGATGAACTTGAATTTTGAATATTGAAACAAACCAGGAAGAAATTCATTCAAAATGGCTTTTCCCTACTGCTGGTGGCTATTCCCATTGCAACCACAAACAGCCTTTATAGTCAGACTAAATCCAAATGACAATGAAAGGCTATCTTTAAATCTTCCTAAATGTAGCTGGGTAGCCCATGCACCTTGGGGGGACAGTAGTGAGAGCTCGGTTCAACTTAATATGCATTACCAGGCTTCTCAGGTGAACACAGGCATGGCTGGGGGCCGCAGAGTGCTCCGGCTTGTCCTCAAGTGCTGGTTTTACTGATATTAACAAACAAACAGGGGGGCAGTTACACAGTGTGGTTTGTGCATATGCACAGTGCCCCCTTGTCAAAGGTGAGCTGACATGCACCAATGCACACACACACATTCACAAAGTTCCATTTAAATAATGCAGCTTTATCTGGCAGGCCATACTGCTCCATTGTTCATATGACCAGCTGGTGAATGCTTGGGAGGAAAGGTGAGAGGTCCTGCTTCAAGTGATCAACAATAGGTGCTGATGGAGGAGAGAGAGAGAGGTTTAATGACTTGTTTTTAATCTAAGAGTGAATGTCTGTCCTTTTGTACTTGAATATTAATCTATTTGACCTTTACATCAATTCCATTCTTTCCAATTGACCAATTTTTACTGCAATCGCAGTTTGTGGAGCTATGTAAAAGAAGCACAAAAGTTAGCAGCAAATACTAGTAGAAGAAGTACTACAGTAATGAATACTTTTGTGATGTACT